TGGGTGCACATTGTACGTAGCCAAGCACGACAGGAATTTTTGTCTTCTCCGTACCAAAAGATATCCTTCAGATTGTGGTGCACATCCTTAGCACACCATAGAGTACATCACATAACATGCAAGTACATAACATAACACGCGAGTACATACCGCCCACCACCTATTAGCTCAAGAGCTGTGCAAGAATTTGTTTGTCTGGTGATGGCTGGAGAGAATTCGTTGATAAAAGTGCTCTCCTAAATTTAAAGTCGTCTTTCGTCATCGCACGTCTGAAGAATATCAGTGTCAGCTTCATCTGTCGTCGTGTTGATGTCCTTCGTGTCGTGTCGCACGTGCTCGTCGGGTAAACGCATTGGGAGGCGTCCTCATGGTGTCGTGGTTACGCCAATGTAATGTATGGAACGAAGGTTGCAGCCTTCGAGATTACATTTTAATTGGTATACTGCATTGGTGCATTTAGGTCTGTCGGGTCTGTCAGCGCTGTTTCTCATAACAAAGCCAGAGAGTTTTATGTTGCGATGATAAATGCGTTCTTGCTTTTTACGTGTCGAAGGATGATTTCCCGTACATTTTTTCATCTTATTCTTAGACAGATGTCATATATATATATATATATATATATATATATATATGTATATATATACATATATATATTTAACGTGTACTTGTTTAGAGGTCGGGAGCCCTCGCGTAAAGATGGCCTTGGCTGTACAGACCCGTTCGTCAACCCCGTTATTGTTACCGCGGCTGGACCGCCACCTTCAGTCGGCACCGGCATGAAGATCACCTTGGCTGGACAGACCCGTTCGTCAACCCCGTTATTGATACCGCGGGCTGGACCGCCACCTTCAGTCGACGCCGACGTTCATTACATCGGACCGGCTCCTGTGGAGGCCAACGGGACAAACTATACATGTGATATACGCTTGAGCGCCTTCTTCTTTTCAGCTTGATCTTCTGCGAGGCACAGCCCGAGCTTGTCACTGAATGGGTGCTCCGCTGCCCCTTCGGCTAACAAGAGAGACACCGCTAGCCATACTGAATGGGGTTGAATCGCGGGGGGGATCCTTGGCTGAAGGTTTGCTTTAAAGGAAGCCACTTGCTACATCAGGCGCGTACGATGTGATCAGTGGCAACAGTTTTCTCGAAATTCTGCTGAGTAGCTAATAATTTGTATTTAGAACAGCTGACCCCACGGTGAAAATCTCAGTTGACGCTCTGGTTCACCACCATGAAAGTAATACATTTCATTAGCGTTGCTTTTACCAGAGTGTGTGTTGTTTAATAATTGCAACAGAAAGCTTGAAACACTCTGTTTAGACAAAAATGTATGCCAACGTGAAGGTCCTGTCCCGTGGATTGAACAAAACATCATGTCATGGCTTTGGTTTCTCCCCTACGTCGTTTACGACAGCGGCTCTTTTCGAAGCACACTTTGGCTTTGGAACCGGAGCATCATACAAGCTATGTGACATCCTGATTCAAACTTCAACGAATCAACTTTACGGTGACAGGCTCTTGCCTGTTGGGCCAATCACAAACGTTCTTCTTTTTCCGTCGTTGTCATGACAACGGTAATCGTGACTGAAGGGAAGAAAGGGTAGCGCTGTTACAAAACGTTGACAGCGCAGTTTGGACTCGTAAATAATTGAACTTGATATCGTTATTTTGCCTTGGCGGTGCTGGAGGGCCACTACCCAGTGGCACATCAGCCGTAATTAGCTCTGAGCTTTCAAAGAGTATATCGCTGCAGTACACGTCACAGGTAAAACCCCCCTTTGACGAGTGAGTAGCGTCCTGGCACGGCTAAAACAAAGCTGAATGACTGAATGCCCGCAGCCGAACAGTGGCCCCGCAGCATGTGGTGCCGAGACCTCACAGCATTCAAGGTCGATGAGGTCTTAGCAGCATGTGGTGCCGAGACCTCACAGCAGTCAAGGTCGATGAGGTCTTAGCAGCATGTGATGCCGAGACCTCACAGCAGTCAAGGTCGATGAGGTCTTAGCAGCACGTGGTGCCGAGATCTCACAGCATTCAAGGTCGATGAGGTCTTAGCAGCATATGATGCCAAGACCTCACAGCATTCAAGGTCGATGGGGCCTTGGCAACATATGATGCCGTGACCTCACAGTAGTCAAGCACGGGGTGGATGTGTCCGGAGCGCTATACATTATACATGATGCTGCGATACTGATGGTGCGATACATTTCGTAACTCGCTTTCATGCTTGCAAGCTGTCTTCAGACAGGATACAGGGCTGCAGGATTTCTAGCAAGGCCGCTGGTCCGAGGTGCAGATCCTCATATTATCATCTTTGACCGTCTTCAGTTCTTTCCCGATGCAAGCCGTGTATATTTTTTGCAAACAAAGCTGTCTGTTAACGCGTTGTGTTTTGAGATCTGCAAGTCATCTCGTTACGTAAAGACATGACCAATTCCCCACGCTATTTACAAGGACACCAATGGTGTGCCGGCTTCGATCATGTGGCTCTCCACTGCCCACCTGGCAACCATGTGGCTCTCCGCTGCCCACCTGGCAACCATGTGGCTCTCCACTGCCCACCTGGCAACCATGTGGCTCTCCACTGCCCACCTGGCAATCATGTGGCTCTCTGCTGCCCACCTGGCAACCATGTGGCTCTCCACTGCCCACCTGGCAACCATGTGGCTCTCCACTGCCCACCTGGCAATCATGTGGCTCTCCACTGCCCACCTGGCAATCATGTGGCTCTCCACTGCCCACCTGGAAATCATGTGGCTCTCCACTGCCCACCTGGCAATCATGTGGCTCTCCACTGCCCACCTGGCAATCATGTGGCTCTCCACTGCCCACCTTGCAATCATGTGGCTCTCCACTGCCCACCTGGCAATCATTTGGCTCTCCACTGCGCACCTGGCAATCATGTGGCTCTCCGCTGCGCACCTGGCAATCATGTGGCTCTCCACTGCCCACCTGGCAATCATGTGGCTCTCCACTGCCCACCTGGCAATCATGTGGCTCTCCACTGCGCACCTGGCAATGATGCAAATATCAGCCGTAGGGCCATGCTTCATTACATTTTCAGAGTTTTTGCTTTGCTGTTGCTTAAAATGGAGTCATGAAGTCACCAAGTTAGGTCTAGACACAAAGTCTTTGACTAGCTCTTTCTGTTTCGTTAGAAGTTCTTTGCTCTGTTTGATTCTACAA